CTTTTCATATGTATTTGAGTGAGGTCGAACTTGGGGCTTGGAGTGAAATTAATTTCTAACTTAGTAAAAAAAAATGTTTGACGATGACCGATGGCCGCAAAGGCGTTATTGCGAGTAAGATCAGAATGTTAGTCCATATAATTCGAGCGAGATCGAGTTCTTCTTCTGGGTGATGGCCCTTGGCCGTAGGGGTTATTTCGAGCTAATGTCAAAATATTACCCCGTCATAATTCGAACAAGGTCAAATTCTTCTTTTTGGCGATGGCCCTCGGCCGTAGGGGTGTTATTTCGAGCTAATGTCATAATGTTAACCTGTCATGATTCGAACAAGGCCGAATTCTTCTTTTTGGCGATGGCCCTCGGCCGTTGGGGTGTATTTCGAGCTAATGTCGAAATGTTAACCCGTCATGATTCGAACATGGTCGAATTCTTCTTTTGGGTGATGGCCCTTGGCCGTAGGGGTATTATTTCGAAATGTTAACCCGTCATGATTCAAACGAGGTTGAATTCTTCTTTTTGGTGATGGCCCTTGGCCATAGGGGTGTTATTTTGAGCTAATGTCGAAATGTTAACCCGCCATGATTTGAACGAGGTAAAATTCTTCTTTTTGGCAATCGCCCTTGGCCGTAGGGGGTTATTTTGAGCTAATGTCAAAATGTTAACCCATCATGATTTGAATGAGGTAGAATTCTTCTTTTTAGCGATAGCCCTTGGTCGTAGGGGTGTTATTTCGTGCCAATATCGAAATGTTAACCCGTCATGATACGAACGAGGTCGAATTCTTCTTTTTGGTGATGGCCATTGGCTGTAGGGGTGTTATTTCGAGCTAATGCAAAATGTTAACCTGTCATGATTCGGACGAGGTCGAATTCTTCTTTTTACCGATGGCCCTTGGCCATAGGGGTGTTATTAACCCGTCATGATTCGAATGAGGTCGAATTCTTCTTTTTGGCGATGTCCCTTGGCCATAGGGATGTTATTTCGAGCTAATGTAACGAGGTCAAATTCTTCTTTTTGGCGATGGCCCTTGGTCGTAGGGGTGTTATTTCGAGCTAATGTCAAAATGTTAACCTGTTATTATTCGAACGAGGTCAAATTCTTCTTTTTGGCGATGGCCCTTGGTCGTAGGGGTGTTATTTCGAGCTAATGTCGAAATGTTAACCCGTTATGATTCGAACGAGGTCGAATTCTTCTCTTTGGCGATGACCCTTGGCTGTAGGGGTGTTATTTCGAGCTAATGTCAAAATGTTAACCTGTTATTATTCGAACGAGGTCAAATTCTTCTTTTTGGCGATGACCCTTGGTCGTAGGGGTATTATTTTGAGCTAATGTCAAAATGTTAACCGGTTATTTCATTGTCAAAAATTTGGTGAATCACATGCTACCATATTGTCTGTGTATATGTCGGAGCAAATCCTGGCGTACTCGGTTTTGTTTTTTCTAGAGAATTTTGGGCGTCCCCTGGGGGAGTCCCAGTTTTGCTTAACTTCTGTGTTCCCCGGGTGAATCCCAGTTTGCTTAACTTTTGCATTTCCTGGGTGAGTCCTAGTTTGCTTAATTTTATTTGCATTGGGGTATACGATGCGTCTCTCGAGTGAGTCCCAGTTTGTTTAATTTTTCTTGCGGTGGAGAATATGATGACGGGGAGTATAAAAGGTTACTATTTCGCTAACTGGGGAGTGCAGTACATGTTCATTTCATGCATATATTGGAGAAGTTTCCTTAAATCTAATCCCTTTATCGTTCGTCCTGGAGAGGTCATCGGCAAGTGGGGCGATGAAATAACACCCCTAACCCGACATGAATCGAACGAGGTCAAATTCTTCTTTTTGGCGATGGCCCCTGCCCGTATGGGTGTTATTTCGAGCTAATGTCAAAATGTTAACCCGTCATGATTCGAACGAGGTCGAATTCTTCTTTTTGGCAATGGCCTTTGGCCGTAGGGGTGTTATTTCGAGCTAATGTCGAAATGTTAACCTGTTATTATTCGAACGAGGTCAATTTCTTCTTTTTGGCGATGGCCCTTGGCTGTAGGGGTGTTATTTCGAGCTAATGTTGAAATGTTAACCCGTTATTTCATTGTCAGAATTTGGAGAAGCACAGGCTACCATATTGTTTGTGTATACGTCGGAGCAAATCCTGGCGTACTCGGTTTTGTTTTTTCTGGAGAATTTTGGGCGTCCCCTGGGGGAGTCCCGGTTTTGCTTAACCTCTGCATTCCCTGGGTGAGTCCCAGTTTGCTTAGCTTTTGCGTTTCCTAGGTGAGTCCCAATTTGTTTAATTTTGTTTGCACGATGTGTCTCTTGGGTGAGTCCCAGTTGTTTTAATTTTTTTTGCGATGGAGAATATGATGACAGGGAGTATAAAATGTTACTGTTTCGCTAACTGGAGACTGTAGTACGTGTTCGTTTCATGCATATATTGGATAAGTTTCCCTGTATCTAGTCCCTTCATTGTTCGTCTTGGAGAGGTCATCGACAGACGGGGCGATGAATTATACTTTGAACTTCGAGACGTCCCCCTTCATTGCCTTGTTAAAACCTCCCCGAGAACTCAATTGGGACCAAACTCGGATGAGGGAAAAAGAGTACGACTTGAGGGGCGTCATTTTTTAGAAATTGAAGTGTTTGAGATGGGCAACATTCCAGTTGTTTTGTAGTAGTTTTTCTTCCATTGTTTCTAGTTGGAGTGCTCCTTTGCTCGCTTTCCCGTGCGGCTCTTGTGTTCCTGTTTAAACTAACAGAGGGTAAAACAAAATGAGATTTTCCGTACCTCGATCCAATGAGTCGGTAAAAGAGGATAGCTTTATAGCATTGCTTGCTCTGCCTGGCATTTGAATGGTTGATGGAATGGTGGTTTTTAGATTTGGCGGCCGTGTTCGGCTCCGTTTTCTTTTAGCAGTGCCTAAGATCTGTGTGGGTTGGGTTCGCTTCACTTGTTGTAGAGTTGAAATCGAGTCCCGGTGTGATCTCGTTTGATTCGTACCCACAACAAGGGAGACATGTCATACTTCTTTCATGGACCATCGGTGTGAAGGGGATGTGAGAGTAGGGCAGGATGTGCCCATTCTTTTACATGATTGTGCAACAAGTGTTGCCCTCTCATAAAAGGTGCGTGGATATTGGTTATAACTTCTACTTTTATATGGCAGCATGATATAGGATAGCATGCGAGGTTTGCCTACCACTCTTTCGGGTGGATGGTCACATTTCTCCGGTTTTAGATATGAAGGAAACTAGAAAATTTGGCTAAGAAATCCCTACAGATGGCGCCAAATTATTTGAGCAAAAAGTTTAAGACTCTTTCGCCAAAATTAATTATCAATAATAAAGAAGGTAAATCTTAGCCAAGCATAATTAATTTCAAATTCAAACATATAAAGTGCGAAATAATGAAGGGAAGGAATATATTAGATTCATTGATGTGGTAATCTTACGCCAAACACGAGAGATGAGCTTACATCTGGAATAGAAATGAATTGTAAACGAATGAGTAAAGAGAGGGAAAAGTGAAGTAATTGTCATCGGCGAGAGATTCCTCTTTCATCTTATTTTCTCTGCTTCCCCTCGTTATTCTGTTGTTTCTTCTTCCCCAGAAAAGTCCCCCTTTCTATGAGCTTTCCCCCTATATATATAGTTCCTAGAACTTTTTATTCAATGGTTTGACCAACATACTTTCTTGTAACTGTCCCTTTCGTCGTTGCTCGAACATAGTATTGACTCGACGTATGCTTTCGACGATTTGACTCCGACGATGGCCGAGGTGTTCTTTACTATTTCGCCACCTGAGCATGATTTCAGCTGGGCCGACCCTTATCATTTCTATTGGGGACGGCCACTATGGTCAGATTTTGACCTATACAATAATATACTTCCTATCTTCTTTCTAATTATTTGTTTCAAGATGGTATTCACTTTTTAAAGTAAAATACTTACAAACATTTAGGTATCACGAAAATTCTTTTAGCAGCCGCAGTTTCTCTTTTGAAACAAAGTCTATCCCATTATTCTACTACTTTAGAAATTAAAGTCAAAATTTATACATCTTTCTCGCAAATAATTAAAATTTATATGACGATAATCCCTATACGTATTTGCTACATTAGATGAAATTGAAAGACGGAATGGCCTCGAAAGTTTGTCTCCTAACACCACGTGCGCACGAGAGTAATTGTTTAAAATTTTCCCTGTTTCTATAGAGGATTTACTTTACCTTATGTACAATTAAAAAAAATTATACCGATAGATTTGTATCTTATAACATGTACTATTATAATTGTACTATGTACAAGTACTTATATTATAGTTTAATAGTAGATTAAGTTACCTTTTTATCAAGTTAACATTAATTATTAATGCATATAATACTACTCTATATTTAATTACTACAATTCAGTACTTTATAGTAAGTGACTTATTAAATACTTCTACTAGAAAATATTAAACACTTACTTTATTTTCAAAGTATCTGTCAATAATTTTATAGAACTAGTGAACAAAAGTTAAACTTCTTTACCATTTATTAGAACACCTGATCCGTAACCGACTGCACCGTTCCTCGTGCCACAAGCTCCTTCACTTCTCCTTCATCTCTATTCCTATAGGAGTATTTGATTTCATCTCTTCCTACCGATTAGACCAAACATAATTTCATCCAATTAAATTTCGAAAAGAAAAAGAAAAAGAGTAGCATGCATTTCTTTCTTTTATTAGGAGCTATGAGAAAAGATTACATATCATATAAAAGGCACATTCGCATGCCAAGTATACAGTATTTGTTCTTTTTCTCTGTTACAAAAACCAAAAAAAAAAAATGAAAAATGATCAGCTTTGCTTATGAATATTCACAGCAACAGTGATCATTGCTTATTGTCGCCTGCGGCGTATCCCGCTTTTAATCCTGTTTTTCTTCTTTATTAGTTTCTGAATTTTTTTTAAAATAAAAAGAAAACAAATTGAGATGCATGCAATATTCTCAATGACAAATGTAGGGGCCGGGTTTCACATGTTCCCTGGCGGTGCAAGGGTGAGCTCAAGATTGAGAGCTCTGGTGCTGGTGGTTGGTGGCTCAGTCTGAACCCCACGCCCACTGCCGCCGTTAACGCCGCCGCCAATGAAGTCAATCGTCTTCTTTTGGCTACTTGGATCCCGGTTAACAATCACTCCAGCTATAGTTAAAGCCTCCACATAGCACCTATCACGCTCCAACTGCAGCGGAGCAGAACATCCAGCAACCGGAAAATGGCGTGACTGAGGATTCTGAATTGGCAACGGAATCCTCACCGCACCACCGCCGCCGCTTGACCCAATATCACTGTTCTTAATGGGACCATGATTATTTGTATTAATGTTAACATGATTTCTAGTACTAAGTTTAGCCATAAAATCTCTAGTGTTCATGAGGTTATCCTCAGTTGTCAGAGAAAAATTAGTTATGGCCCGCCTACCACGAAGCAGCCTCGCGGCCGTATCGTAAGCCTTAGCAGCTTCCACCGCCGTATCAAAAGTTCCAAGCCAGACACGTGTTTTCTGGCCAGGATCTCTGATCTCAGCCGCGTACCTCCCCCATGGCCTCTTCCTCACACCCCTATAATGCACCTCATCTGAACACACCCCTCCACCGTTCGCTGTCGGAACCGCCACCGTCCCAGCCAAGTGGACATTTTCCGCCATATCGAAATGGAAAGGAATTATCAAAGAATTAATGTAGGACTGAATGAGTGAAAGAGAGTGGTTTATATAGCCGCCTCTAGTGGAGATATGTGGGGTCCACTACTAATTACGTGGCATTTGAGTTTAGTTGGCGGCATTTTATGTTTTTCTGATACGTGGGACTGGGTACATACACATTTGTATCTGACTGCTGTTATAGGACTGCATGCCCTATTGTCTTCTTCTATTTTCCAACGTGACACGCCCTACTCACCCCTCACAAAAAAGAAAGCAAACTCTTTTTTTCTTTGTTTCTTTTTGTCCTTTTTTTACTCAAAAAATGTGGAGAACTAAATATTTTTTTAAGGGTTTTTGTGGAAAAACCAATCATGTTGCAAAATTAAATTCCATTTCCATTTTGTAATTCATATATTAAAAGTAAGGTTTTGTCGATATTTTCCAATAAAGGAATAATTGTCTAGTACATTACGCGCCAACAGATTACGTATTAATTATTTGTAATACGACAAATATAATCGTTATTTAAGTTCAGTAAAAAGTTGTGTTTGCCGTATTATGTTTCGTGCAATTAATAAATCATATCTTGTTAGGTCTTGCGCGTATTCAGGAAATAATTAACTAAACGACAAAGAACTACGATAGTGCAAAAAGTTAAAACATATATGAGTATATTAGGTTTTAAATCATTTTACGAATTAAACAACCAAAAATTATTTGACTTTAAAAAAAATTAATCAATGATTAAATAAAAAGACCGTGTTAAAAAATTAACAAATATTATAAGGGGGCATCATTTACTTGACAAATTATATTGATATATTATTAATTTAGTTGGATTTCCTAAAAACTCACCAAAAAGAGTTCTTAAAAATGAATAATTTAGTTAATTAACATAAAAAAATTCAATTGACATGTTTTATCGATTACATTTAGATATACATTCTTTTCGTATCAATTAAATTGCTACATAGAAAACAAATATAATGACGTAAGCATGACATGGTGAGGAATATAGTTTTGAATGGCAATTTTATTTTTAAATATGGTAAATCCACAAATAAACAAATGTTGAATGATTGATGAATTGGTAGTTATTAATTAACTACTTACCTAAAAGCCACAATTATGTGAATTTTGTCTTGGGGATTCTTTGAGGGTCCAGTAGGATTACTTACCAAAAAAGTTTTCATTAGTCATAACCAAATGGCGATACTCAAAGGCAAGTAAATTATTAAAAACAGAAATATAATCTGATTAGAGTAATAAATTTTGGTAGGTACACGTGGAAGCTCGGAACTGAAACCGGCAATAACCGGTTTGAATTAGAGTTGTCGGTGTACTTCCGGAATAGTATCTGGTGCCTGCTATAAAAGTGCATGCCCTCTTGTCTTTTCTATTTCCCAAAATGACACGTCCCAGCCTCGCAAACGTAAGCACTATTTTTAATAAGTACATATTTTTTAATTTATTTTCAACTCAAGAAAATTTACAGAAATAAAGAAACTGCAGTTTAGTTTTTTGAATTAGAAGTCACCAAGGAAATTACAAAGTTGAATTCCATTTGCATTTTGAGTTAATCTATAAAAAGTATAGTTTTGTTGACACTACTAAGGGCCCGTTTCGTCTGTCAAAAAAAAAAAAAAAAAAACCTTTGTTTTCGAATCTTTTTTTTGGTGTACATTAGAATGATTTTTCAAAGATGTGTTTCGAAGATGAGTTTGGATATTTGAAAAGATGCTTTTATCACTTTTTCATGTAAAAAAAATTTTTTCTTCAAAAAATTATATGTAATATTTTTTCAAGTAAAATGTATATTCAAAAACAATTTTAAAATGAAATACTCTTTTTCAACTTAACTCCAATCGCCTACCAAAATATTTTGTCCATCATATTATATAACAAGTCAACAACAGCTTACAATTTACATATTTTATACATGAGAGTATAATAATTATTTTCACTTCAGAAACAATCTTATTTATTCCCAGAGGCGGATATAGGATTTTTTTTATATGGGTGTACTACTAAAAAAAGGAGGAAAAAATGTATCTAGTGGGAATTGATCATGGGTGCCAACAATTAATATTATATCAATTTTAGAAAATATGTACATAAAATATCTAATTTTACGAAGAGATCATGAGTTCACGTGCCCCGTACTTATACCTATAAATCTGTCCCTGTCGTGTCCTATATGATAACTGTGAGTACCTAATTTTTGCCCTATAGATAAATTACTCCTAAAAAATGTTGAAAATAGTTTTAACTGTTTCAATAGAATTTAGGAATTTTTCCTCTATTTTACCTTATTTGTCTGGCATTTATTTGGAATTTTAACATATTTAATAGCATTTCAAATCATAAAAATGATAAAAATATTTTATATCTTATTTCTCATATATTTTTATATTTTAATTGCATTTCCAAAATACTAAAATTATAAAGTGCATTAATTAATATCATTTTTTATATTTGTAAGTTTAATGAATTAGTCAATTTGTTAGATTATAATTTAAATAGTTTAATATTGGATAAATGGGTATTTGTGCAACATTAGAATTAAATAGGGAAGTGACTAAAATGGGAAAATAAAGTTAAGGAAAGAATTAAAAGATAAAGAAAATGGGCTGTTGTTTTGAAACTGGGCCAACCAAATTACGTCAGCCCAATTACACATCCCTAAAAACACTCAATCCCTCCCTTCATTCCCTAGACCTAATTTTATTTTTTCCCCTACCTAGAGAACAATCAAATCTTCCCTCCTCTCTCAAAGAAACGGCGCACACCCTTCTCCATCATCATCTCTTTCAAAGAAATGAGATCAGAAGACACATTAGAGACCTAAAAAATCAGACCTTCTCTTTGAAGATGAACTTCGCTCATTTCCTCTCACTCACCTCATTCACGCCTCAACTCTCATTCACCTAGGCCAAAGGGTTCTGTAATTTTCCATTTAAGCTTCAAATTTGAAGCATAAGAAACCCAAAAAAAAAAGCAAAAAATGAAAAGAAAAAAAAAGATATCGAAGTCGTGCTTTTCTAACTTGGGTTGTTCCACATTTCTCTAGAATTTAGAAGATTATTTTGAGCTTTGGATTATTGTTCGCTGTCGATCATTGTTGAATTTACTTTGTTGAGCTTCATCTCTAAAGATTCTGGCCTTTATTTGACACTTTGTTGTAATTCTGCGCTTTAGGTATTCCTTAATCTCTTGCTTATTGTGTGCACAATATATGTCATATAACATGCTGAAATTGAAGTTAGTATCAACTTTGAGGTGAAATGCCTTTTGTGATTAATTGTTGATGGTTAATTGTTTGTCACAATGAGTTAAGCTTTGAAGTAATTCGTTTGGCATTTCAATGACCTGCTGTTTGGAAATATTGTTTGTATGACATGTTGTTTAGCATTATACGTTGCTGTCAAGAATCACCTTTCCCTCTCCTTTACTCAGGTGATTCTTATTTTCCTCTTTAAATATAAGAATTAGAACTTGAGTTTTGTGTTTTTTAGATTAAAGGAAGAAAGTTTTATATGCTCAGCCAGTAGTTGTAAGTTAATTCAATGTGTTTATATAACTATAAAGATTACGGAGCTATCAGTTGTTCTTACAATAAATTGGGTAAAGAACTGGGGTTAAAGTTTCTCCATTCACTGAACTACTACTCACTGCCCCAATTTAATTGTTCTATTTAGTTTGTGCACCATATTATGGTGAGAGTTAAAGTTTTGTTACATCTACATGAGTGTATAACGTTCTGTGATGAAAATCTTTAAGTGAAAAGGTTGTGATGAAAGAATTTTTGTTAAAGACTTGAAGTGTTGAAAAAGCTTTGGATAGTGATAAGCAGTGCTTTAAGGAAACAACAACAACAATCCTGTGTAATCCCACAAGTGGGGTCTGGAGAGGGTAGTGAGTACATAGACCTTACCCCTTGTCGCGCCTCCTTTTTCCCCTCTTATGCATCGGGAGATCGGGTTTATGACATTTTAGGACAACTCATTCCTTTTGGGAACTAGGTTTTGCATTTGAAGAGTCGTCATCTAATGATTTAAGGTGCATTAGGACACCTATAAGGGTTCACTTCTAAGTTCATTTGATAACCAGAGATAGGGTAAGACCTTGAAATTATCCTAAGAGGAAGGTGTTAGGCACCCCTCAGGATCAACTAGTGTGGTTCCCGGCCAGATAGTTTCTTGTGAATTTGTGCAATTTAGCGAATAGACAAGTATATACTCAAATAATAGGGGATTTAAATTTAAATACAAGAGTTTAAAAGAACAATAAGAAGATGAATTTTGAAAAGGAGTTACAATTCTACATATACTTGAGGATATATAAAAGAAGGGGGTCCTAGGTTTAAATATAATATGGATAATATCAATGCGATACTCGATATGATACTCCTCAAAAGATGGGATACACGTGGTATTAGCGCACGGGTCATCATGTCAATATCTACCCTCCCCACCCCATTAATGTATTAAAGCGCAGATTGGTCTCGACCATTATTGCATGCTATTACCGATCCCATTCCTATCAGTCCCGGAGGAACTTAGGACTACTATTCCTAAAAGGGAGGGATATTAGG